GGACTACAATTGGAGGCCGGTGTTTAGCTAACCCTGGCGGATTGTCCTCTGCCCAAACTCCCGGGATAGCCTGTCTTAGTTGTTGGAGATAGGCATCTGCTGAGACTTCCCCTGGCTCCTCCTCATGTAGTAAATATTCCTCCTGTAAGGGCAGCGTGAGGAGATATATCCCTGCAGTCCCTGGGTCTTGTAATTTGACCTCAGGTCCTGGCCCTTCCAAGGAGATTGTGGCCCGTAATTTACTCAGCAGATCCCGGCCTAGCAGAGGGTAAGGGCACTCTGGCATTACTAGGAATGAGTGAGTCACTGAGCCGTTTCCTAGGTCACTGATCCGACCTTCAGTCCATGGGTAGGATTTCACTTTCCCAGTTGCCCCTTTGATGGGGATTTTGGTCTTAGAGACCGGACCCACTGGCTGTTACAGGACAGAGAAGATGGCTCCCGTGTCCACAAGGAAGTCCACCTTCTGGCCCCCCACTGTCAGAGTTATCCTGGGCTCTTGGGGGCCAGCTGAGCCCTGACGACCCTAATCCACCTCCTCTACCAACATGGGAGTCGGTTCCCCCACACGTTCAGGGCACTCCCTTTTCCAATGTCCTTCCTTTTTGCAAAATGCACATTGATTTTTCCCAAACCTGGGTCAGACTTCTTTTCTCCTGCAAGGCTTTCCTTTGTCCTTATTGTCTCTCTGGCCCCTTGGGCCTTTTTCCTCGTTTATTGCCAGGAGGACCTTTGCCATCGGGCATTTAAACCTGCCGTTGGGTCCTCCCGATTGTTAAAAACCTTCTGGGCCACCTCAACCAACTCAGAGATTGATTTCCCCTCAAAGCCCTCTAACTTCTGCAATTTTTTCCGAATATCTGGGGCCGACGGGGAAACAAATGCAACAATGACAGCCCTCTGATTTTCCGGGGCACTAGGGTCAATGGGGGTATACACCCGATAGGCCTCGAACAGCCTCTCAAGGAAAGCTGCCGGGCTCTCATTAGGCCCCTGGACTGTCT